GTTTTTTTTTTTCAAAATTTGATATTATTTCGTTTCTAAAGTAAAATGAGCCTGAAATTTTAGCATATTTTAGACACCAATAAATAGTTTATTTCTTTAGAAGAAATACCACCCCCCCCCCCCCCCCCCCCCAATCCCCTCTCAACTTATCGCTTCTCGTAATTTTGATTTATTTTATTAGTTTTGCAATGTAGTAGATTGTTTTTAAAAGCAGTATTTTCACTTGTTTGAAGGGAAAAGTGCTACTTTACGAATTATTGGCTTGACCCAACTTTATTTTTTTTTTATTTAAGTTCTTGCAACACAAAATGTTATCGTTCTTTTTGCTAGTTTTATTTTCTAAAAACAGTGTTGTTTGCTCTTTTTTGCGGTCTACCAAAATTTAAAAAAAAGTTTTGATATTTAAAACAAAAATACTCTTTTTGCGAATGAATTTCATTGGATTTTGTTATAATAACGACAAAAGATCTAACATTCACGAAGATTGAAAAACTTACAGACGACAAAATTTGCATTTTTCATTTTTCAGATTTATTTCAGAATTTCCAAAGGAAAATTAAAATTATAAATTGAAACACCTGATTAACTCTTCATTTATTTTTCTATTACTGGATCTCGTATTTTCTAAGCATGAATATTAAACAAAACTTTTGGTATCAGTTTAGTGAAAAAATTTCAGAAAAAAATTGAAAACGTTTGTAGCCAATAATTTGAGAAATTTTTGCTGCAATTTTTTTAAATGCAAAACTCAATTTGTTGGTATGAATCGAATTCACTTTTTTTAAAATTAAGAATTTTTTTTAATTATCCAAAGCTGAAGAAAAAATGCGACATATATTTTGAAAAAATTAGTTTCTATGCTAAAATACCAAAAAAAATTATGAGCAAAGTATAATTTAAAAATGCAAGGCAAATGTACATAGTACTCACCATTCTCTCAAAGAACTATATAGATGAGTTATTCAAAACCTGAAATATTTGCGAAGCTATTGCAATTTAAACTATTTAATTGTGTCAAAAGGGAAGTGTTGAAAAAACAATATAATTGTATAAGATCAACCTACACAATTTGGCGACTCTTTTTTACAAGCACAATGCCCTTATTTCGAATTTCGTCTGTTCATAATTAGACAATACGGAAAATATAACTGAGATATAATCAAATTATCTTTTTCATAACAAAATATATTGCAATTAATCGTACTGATTCCTAGTATTGTTTAAATACCAAAACCCCCTTTAATTCCTTTACGAATTCATAAAATCAATATAGTTTTTTACTCTGCTAAACCCAAGTCTATAGCCTCTTTGTAGAAAATTTTAATACGTATAGCCACTTTCAAATGAAATATTGTCGGACATATTCTTAATTAAAAATGAAATCTAATTTCTTTTAAAAGAAAAATGTAATTTTACATTTATTTATTTATGTGTTCAAGAATGAAAAAACCACATATTTATTATAATATGAAAATGCATTTTATATTATATTCAACACATAATTGTGTAAATCATTTATATATTATGTTAAAAGTAACATATTGAAATATAAAGAACAACACCAAAACCAGCAACATTTTCTAAATCTACTCTCCTATAAATATAGGCACATTATATATATACGGAACTTATACTTCATATTATAAATGTAATGTAGTTACTAAAACATAACACCTATACATACATATATTAGGTGTCCTTATAGATATGCCATTTTTTAGCAAAAAAGATTCTTTCCAAAAAAGATTGAATACTTATTATTTTCACTCTGTTCGTCCGCCCGTGCTTCAGTACGTACATATATCTGTTAACAAATCAAAGAAAATCTGATATCTGATATGACAAACCCAGCGCAATGTGTATTGTCTAGTTAAGTGAAAGCGTTACAGAAATGCCTGCTAAATACTTGTTTCAAGTTTTTTGGGGGTTAGTAAGCTTTTAGTTAGAGTTTCGCTTTGTGCTACACGATTCCCTGAAATGTTCGCCAGTTAGTTTCGGTAACAACCAGAACTCAAATATCAAATTTCAAGAAATTCCACCAATCGGTTCCTTAGATATGGTAAAAAATGTAAAATCGGCCCTCAAATCAATTTCCGAGCCCTAATCTTTCCAAAAAATTTATATGTTCATTGTTTTAATACAAAAAATTTAAATATTAAATTTCAATGAAAGTAGTAAACGTCCAGTTACTAGCGCCCGATTTCTTTCAAAAGTTGATCAATCCGTGCCATAGTCGAAATAAACTTACACATATAAAATTTCATCAAAATCAGTTCAGCCCAACTTGAGATACACGTGTGCTCACGACGACACACAGACAGACCAGACCGACAGGTTGCTAAAAATAGTTTATTTACACTTCCCTTCTATGGAGAAGTGCGTTCCCACCGAAAATTCGATATGCAAAATTTGTTGCGGTCGATAAAAATGACCATTAAAACTAACCATTACCTAAAAGCCGTTTTTTTTTCAATTTTTTTAATATCGTTTTTCTCTTAAGTTGCAGAAGTCTAAAATTTTAGCAGTTGTTAGATACTAATAAATATTTTATATAGACTATCAACATTTTTAAAATTTTAATTTTCGGCGGCTTAAATTTTCGTAAGTGAAAACTTTTCAGTAGTTTCGTAAGTGAAAATTCTATGTAGTCAAAAAATGAAATTATTTATCTTAGTTAATTAACTCACGCAATTAACCCTTGAATTCGACCGTTATAGTAATGCTGTTCCAAATTTTTTTGTTTTTCACTTGTCCTAAACATATGCAATAATTTGATATATATTAGTATTTTATTGAAACTAATTTAAATAGTTTTTAAACACGTTATTTTCAATTGTTCAAGGAAAAAGTGATACTTTACAAACCATTGATTTGATCCAACTTTATTATATTAGAAAAATGAAAATGGTAAAACGGAAAATTAATAAAATATTCTTTAACTCTTTCATAAGTTTAAAAAGTGATGTTTAATATATTTTATATAACAACCAAAGCTTTTACTTAATTTGAAGAGCTACATATATACTTACTAAATTTTACATATATGTATATAAATTTAAATCAAATTAAATATGTAGATTTTTTTAACCAATATTTCTGATGTAAATCCAAGCCGATGGCATTTTAACTAAAAATGTTTAATAATTTATTTTGACAATTACATACATACATAGAAACAGATGAACTATCGAAAAATATGAATATGAATTATAGACAGTCGAACCTATAGGAAAACTATAACAAAAATGACAATCGTTAAATAACTCCTACAGCTCACAGTCGAAGAGAAAAACGATATTAAAAATTAAAAGAAAACAGTAGTTTAAAGGTGTCAACTAATTTCAACAGCCCTTTTACTATGATAATATTGGCTTATACTATTTCGTAATAACAGAAGCTATTTTTTTGCGCTTTTGGAATTCTAAAAATTGTCAAAAAATTCCATTATCCAAAGATTATGGAGAGCTATAATATTTTGTACGAACGTATGTTCGAAGGGTATACTAAATTTGCCGTACCGTTTGTAACGCTAAGAAATAATAGACTCAAGTACATGTTTTTGATCAGTGTTGAATTTTGAGGCAATTTAGCTTTATCTGTCCGTCCGTCCATTCATTACAACGATTACTCAAAAACTAATTGAGCTAAATTCACCAAATTTTCGCAAATAATTTATTATAGTAAATACCATACCCTATTTAAATTGGATACGATCGAGCTACTGGTTCGGGCCGCTGTCATACAACTTCAAAATTTATTTGGCTATATCTTAAAAATTATAAAAGCCATTATAATATTATTAATGCCATTATTGTGTTTGATAAAAGTCATTGAAATTGCTTGGCGCCTTCTGGTATCTGCCATACAACTTGAAAAGTTAATTAGTTATATCTTAAAAACTGTTCAACCTACAGTGATGAAATTTTGTAAAATAAAATTTGGTAAAATGTTAGGTATATTCATTGTAGCACTTGTTATAGTTTCAATACAACTCTGAAAGTTACTTGGCATTATCTCAAAAATTATTAAAAAATCATGAAAACAAGTGTATTACTAGGGCTGTTATGTGTGATAAAAATCGTTTAAATTTCTTGATCCCTTATGGTAGCTATCATGCAACTTCAATAGTAGCAAACAGGATAACAAATTCGTACGGGTATCACTTAGTTTACTTAGTCAACTCTATTTTTTCCTCGTTAAACATAAACTTATGAACATATGAGTTATAGGCTTTGTCCTAACGATAATTAATAATACACTCTTTTTAAAACTCTTAGTTCAGTCTGTTTAAGGCTAATTGGTTTCTATCCCTTATTTCTTATTAGTTTTTAAGCTCGTCTTTATAACTTTTTAGTAAAATTCTTCACTAGTTTATATAACGCAGATGTTCTTGGTTTACGTGCCTTAAATTGTTCTTCCGCTTATTGAATAACCTTGAATAAATGTAAAATCACATTTATTTCAAATTGTTTATCCCGGCTTTTTTCATATTGCCAAAGTTCAAATAAATAATAATTACTTTAGCTTAACATGTAGACATTAAAATTTTTCAAAGTACAAATTATTATACATTAATTCTTTCATTGTTTTCATAATTAATAACTCATAATAACAATTTTTATATATTAGCACACAGATTTATTAAAAACGTGCTGAATATAGTCATATCCTAGTACGTAATATAGGAAAATATTTAAAAAATGTTTTATAGAAACACGCTATTTTAGAATTTTTTTATTTAGTCATCTACTTGACTTTCACGAAGAAAATGATGAATAAGAACAAGGTGGCCTTCCAAACGCCAACTAGAACATCGTCAACCAAAAGCATTGATAATAACAAAATTTCACAATATTTTTTTGAAAATCTTGTCAAATCAATTGAAGTTTCATTAAAATCCCCCGATAATTTGAATAAAAACCGAAACTTAATTTCAATTAGAAAAAATAAAAATAAAAAAAATTCAATTTCATTTAAAACAAGTTTCAAAAATGTTTTAGTTTCATATTTTGAAAAGAGTAGTATTCATGGATTTGCCTATTTGGTTAAAAGGAAATTACACATCGCTGAAAGGTAAATGAACTTTTCCTAAAATATTTTTGAACTTAATAATGCTAATACTCCTTAAATAATATGTATATTTAAAATATGTACATTCAAATTTAATAACTTTTTTTTCAGTTATGGTTTCTGGCTAACAATTCTATTAATATCAATATTTTTCTGGGTTATAATTGGTTTGGGGTCAGTAGATCGATATAAACGTGATAATACAGTGATTTCAATGGAAAAAGATTTTTACTTTTGGAATAGAACATCGCCATCAATTACAATATGTCCATTGGAAAATAGACTAAATACAGATTTATTTGAAATATATATCAAGTATAAACTGAAAATTAGCCTAAAAATACACAGTAATCCCTCATATAACGTAACCTATCTTACTATACATAATTTCGATATACATATGTAGATTTTACTTTTCCCACCCACCTATTTTCATTAATTGTAATAAATGTCATTTTTACTTCATCTGACGTAGCTTTTTTTCGGAAAAAAACAAGAGTATTTTTATAGAACCTTATGTATTGCAATTTAACTTAAAGTAAAAATTTTTAATCCCAAAAATTATGTTATAGGAGGGATTGCTTTAAATTATAATAATCTAAAACTTTTAAATGCATATACATAAATGTGTTTTTTTAATTATAGGTCTCAAAATATAACTGATATGAAATATAAGGAAAACCTTTACAAATTTTTAGAATCCTTAGCAAATTCGAGCTACGACAATTTCAAAGATATTGAAATATTTCCAGGAATGGTAAATACACATTAATTTTTCTATATATGTACCTAAAAACAAGAATTTTTTTTTGGTGTGATCAAAATTAATAGTTAAAAATGATCAAAGTTTATCAGTTTCTTATTTTAATATTAAATATTTTAATTATTTTAATTTAAACCACTATGCTTTCTAATTGAAATTCAAACCATGTCTGAAATTTCAAAATACTCAAAATACTTAATCAATTAGTTTTCAAATTTCAATTTTTTTCTTTAATTTTAATTTATGTACATACATACATATATTTTATATTCAAGGACTTCAATGTAGACCCAAGCAATTACATGATGTTAATTCGTAATTTGACTGGTGATGATCGTTTTCATCCTGATGTAACACAAAGGGTAGCCTTAAATGAGAACTCTAAAATGAATATGCAGTAAGATATATACATACTTATATAATTACATATCCATATATATTCAATTATATATACATATGTACACATGTATAAATAATCCATAACATATGTATACGTTAATAAAAATTAATTATTTTAGGCAAATTTTAACCGAATTTGGAATATGTTATATGATTAACAATTATTTTGCGGACTTCGTTGCAACTGATTATTTATTATTACATAAAAAACGTAAATATAGTGATCCAGAAAAGGAATTAAGTAAAATGGATGTTTTTGATGATATTTCTTATAATGTTTATGGATTTCGAGGGGCTACTAGGGTAAAGATAATTATTAGATTTTTTAAACTAATGTACATACATATATAATTAAATATTTTAAAAAGGTTTTTGTACACAATGCATATGATATTGTTGGAGTCAATTCAAGTAATTTTAATAACTTAATATTTTTAAAGTCTTACACCAATTTTTATAATTTTAAATACATATTATATAATATACAATTTATTCCCAATACAACGAAGACCCAAAATTTGCGTATGTATTACGAAGGGCTTTAAAAACAAAATAAAAGAGTTGCATATTATTTAAAAGTACCTAAACCAGATATTTTTGCTTGATAGGAACGTCATTTATATTATTATATTAAAGACTCTTGTCATTAAAGCATAAATATGGTATTTCTACAATGTATAGTTTTCGGTAACGTACATACTACAAAAGTATTGCAACACTAGTCTTTGTATTCAGTAATGCCAATGTAATGTGATAATATTGTAGTTTGTCTCGCTAATCATTTATATATTTACACTATTCCTACAAGAAATTTTTGTACAGTTGCACAAAAATGTTGCCAGCTTTTTTCAATAGAGTATTTTCATTTTCCGTTACTTAATTTGACAGCAGTTTTTTCTACAATAAAGGATACTTGATATTTAATTTCACGTTATATGAGAAAGTTCACATTTTATATGTCAAATCAAATCACTGATCTTGATAAAATAATATTATTATTTTGATTTTAAAATTTTGAAATTATTTTAAATTCCTAATTTGTTTGTATTATTTCCTTTGCTAGACTGTAAATTAGAGATATTGTATCTTCATGTATTATATTTGAAATTACATATGCGGAAACTGTAGTTCGCGACAGCGAATTTACAAGTAAATCCACCTTTATTGCAACTAACGACAAATATTTAAGTTTCTTTTTAAAATACATATGTATTTATTATCTATTATTATATGAAAATAAAACATTTGAATATTTACATATTATACTATTTTAAATATATTAACTATTCTACTTAAGTACAACTATATTTGTTTTATACATTTGAACATGAAATATGTTAATGTATATTTATATGTCAATGAGATTTAAAGGTGTAAGACATAAATTAACAGAGTTACGTAAAACTTTCTTTAACTTTTTTCTTCTTTTAGACTGGCATAAATCTACAACAAAAACTATAAATATATATGTATACACACTTGATATAATTACTGCCGAAAATTATGAACAGTAAGTAAAAAATTTTACATTTTATCCCTAAATTAAATATTCCTAAGACAAAATCTCCGCATTTTTATTTTAGCGTAGCGACAATTCAACAAAGAAAGTGCCGATTCCCTCTAGAAACCAATTCCACACATTATACTTTTTATACAAAGAATGTTTGCTTTCAAGAATGTCGTATTGAGGCTGCTTACACTTTATGTAAATGCATTCCTCATTTTTATCCAAATAAAGGTTAATTGTATTTTAGATATCGCTTTATTATTTTTTTCTAATTATTAAATTTTTTTCAATATGTAGGAAATGTAAAACGAACATGTAATTATATGGAATTAATAGAATGCATTTCAAAGTATTCAGGTAATACCATGGACCCTTAATATTATGGAAAAAAAAATAAAAATATATTGATTTCTGTGTTATTATACGTATTTGAAAATGTTTCGAACTCCAATACTTTCTGTTTTTCATTTCTAGAAAACTTTATTGAATTTAAATTTTCTAATATCACTGGAATGGAAAATTTTCGGTGTCATTGCTTAGAAAACTGCAAGGAATCTAAAATTGTAATAAGTGCAGTTCAGGTAAATTTACTTGAATTAGTAATTTTTCATATCCTTACTGATTATTCTTTTAGCGTGAAGCTGTAAACGATATTTTTAATCATGGATATGGTGTGGTTGTTTATATTAGAGGTTATTCTGTTATTCGTTACAAAAGACAAGTTATTTTTACGTTTGAGGATTTACTAGGTAAATTTTTTTTTGCTTAATTTGAAAAAGAAAACAAATCGAATAGAAATTTCTTAATTATTTAGTTTCAATTGGAGGAACGGCAGGATTTTTTCTGGGTTTTAGTGTGTTAAGCATTGTTGAAGTTTTTTATTTTTTTACACTACGATTATATTGGTATACAAAAGGTTATACATAAATATTTAATTTAGTAACATGACATATACAGGATGTCTTTAAAGTGGTGCACTGATACATATATCACCGTATAGAACTTCGTTAGCAAATGAAATAAAAGGTTGCACTATTAGCAACCGCTGTAGAAGTGGCTCTTAAAAAGAATTTTTTTTAACTGAATTTTTTAAAAGTAGGCTGTAGATTTGGCTGCGTTAGGAATAACGATACTTTTAGATATGCGCCATACTATAGGCTATTAAAAAGTACTTAACGAATTTCATATAACTTTAAGCACAGATACCACTATCAATTAAAAAAAATTTTTGAAAATTAATTCGCAATATGACAGCTACCCAAAACTTTCCAGATCCAAAGAGTGTTCATTGTCCACTTTAATTTTGATGTATTAGTTACTCTTTGAAAAATAAATGAGAATGTATCCTTTAAAAATAATTGAATATGAAACAATATTTTTTTGAAACAAAAAAAAAACTTGGAAACAACCAGTTTTTTTACCGACCGTATTGTGTAAACAATAGGTAGGTTATGTGATGCCAACAAATTTTGCATATCGAGTTTTCGGTGGGAATGCACTTCTCCATACTAGGGAAGTGTAAATAAACTACTTTTAGCAACCTGTCGGTCTGTCGTGCCTGTATTCAGCGGGCCTGTTTTACATTTTTGCACATTTTGAAGAAAATATTCAACCGATTTACTTGAAATTTTATATATAAGCTCAGCTCAATCGTCCGCGAAACCTCCTAAAATCTGGCGTCAGCAACTGGACGTTTACTACGAGCCAAATATACATTTTTGCGTATATAAAGAGAAATAACCAACCGATTTCATTGAAATTTAATATTTAAATTTTTCGTATTAAAACAATGAATATATAAAGTTTTTGGAAAGATCAGGGCTCGAAAACTGATCTGCAGGCCGATTTTACATTTTTCACCATATCTACGGAACGAATCGATCGAATTTCTTGAAATTTGATATGAGTTCTGGTTGTTGCCGAAACTAACTGGCGAGCATTTCAGTGAATTCGGGTAGAACAAAGCGAAACTCTAAAAAGAGCCAAATTTACATTTTTCTAGGTATGTTAACTCTAAGCTTACGAATGTCCCAAAAATTGGAAAGAAGTATTTAATATACATTCTTATAATATTCTGTAACACTTTCACTTAACTAGACAATACACATTGCGGTCGGTTATGTGCTGATCACATCAGATTTTTTTATTTTGGGTCTCTTGGTTCTCTTTTTTAATTGTGCAATAAGAATATCTCAGAAAAAAAAGTTTTACCCATTCCGGATGCCCAAATCGATGGTATACGTTAAAGCACCGATTACTGGATCACTCTGTATATATTTATAATGTATTCATATTATATATTTACAATGTATGTTTGAAAAATTTCGCTAATTCTTGTGCTTTAAATTAATTAAAAAGTAGAAAACTAAAACCGAATTTTGTTTTATTATAATTTTACATCCAAATGTACTCGTATGCCTGTATAACAATGTGTGAAATTGTATGTATGCAATAGAAAACACAAAAAATTGACTTATTATTATCTTATATACAAAATTTTCCAATCTTTTTAAATTTATAAAAGTATAAGGTAAGAAACGTCATCAAAGTTTAATTAGCACCAATTATAATTACAATTGAAACATAGCTATGCACTTTAAAATATCCATTGGATACATCATCAGCCTTAATAGTAAAATATTGTTCCCACATTTGCATTTAAATAGTGTCATTAAAATTATATATTAATAGCGTTTCATGTGTCACGAAATACACGCGACATGAACTCTTATATTTAAGAAGAGATACAGTCCAAGTTAACAAAAGCTTAACTTCAGTATGTTTGCCCATCTAATCTGTACTATAATTAGCACCATTTCTATTACCATTTCTATTACTATTATTAGCACCTTTTCTCCAGAACCAAATTTTTATATGTACCCAAGGTTTAGTTCTCCAAAATCGTGAAAATGTAAGTTGTGAACCAGGTGCCATACTGATATGTAATTCGATTACCTACCTATGCTTGAGTACACTCCCCTGCCCTATATGAAAGAGTAGATCAATAGATGGCAGGATTAGTTTCTTTCTTTTTTGCCAGCAGGGCCTTAATGAAAATATTTTACAATAGATGGATACATTTAATTTGTAAATTGATGGAAAATGTTTTAAAATATTTTTATAGTATTATTTCGGAATTAAAAACAACAAATAATTAAAATAAAGTTGGGTCAAACCAATGGTTTATAAAATAGCACCTTTCCCTTCAACAAGTGAAAGTACTGCTTTTGAAAACAATCTATTACATTATTAATATTACTTCCATTCATATACCAAATTATTTCAAAGGTTGTACATATTTAGGGTGCAGGTATATATGTATGTATATTCTTGCTCAATGTAAAATTTTGTGTTCACTTGAACATGTCCACTCGTCTGTTAGTCTGTCCGATCACACGATAAATTAAAAAACGAATAATGTAATCGATACTTTACTTTTACAAGTTGCTTCTTCTGTTAAAACGGCGGCTGCTATTGTAATTGGATCGATTCGGACGACGGGCTCGAGTAGCTGCCATACAACTCAAAAAGTTTTTTTTTTTAAATTTCAAAAACTAATAAAGATACTCGTATTAGTATCAAATTTTGCAAAGATGTGTCCAATTAAACTCTACATTTGTTTTGAAAATTTTAATGGAATGGCTACACTGATTTGGGTGGCTGCCATATAATTCCAAAAGCTTATTTTAAATATTTGGAAAAAGAATAAAGTTAGATTTATAAAACTCGGTAGTCGTGTGTCCAATTACAATAGGTAGGTTATGTGATGCCAACAAATTTTGCATATCGAGTTTTCGGTGGGAATGCACTTCTCCATACTAGGGAAGTGTAAATAAACTACTTTTAGCAACCTGTCGGTCTGTCGTGCCTGTATTCAGCGGGCCTGTTTTACATTTTTGCACATTTTGAAGAAAATATTCAACCGATTTACTTGAAATTTTATATATAAGCTCAGCTCAATCGTCCGCGAAACCTCCTAAAATCTGGCGTCAGCAACTGGACGTTTACTACGAGCCAAATATACATTTTTGCGTATATAAAGAGAAATAACCAACCGATTTCATTGAAATTTAATATTTAAATTTTTCGTATTAAAACAATGAATATATAAAGTTTTTGGAAAGATCAGGGCTCGAAAACTGATCTGCAGGCCGATTTTACATTTTTCACCATATCTACGGAACGAATCGATCGAATTTCTTGAAATTTGATATGAGTTCTGGTTGTTGCCGAAACTAACTGGCGAGCATTTCAGTGAATTCGGGTAGAACAAAGCGAAACTCTAAAAAGAGCCAAATTTACATTTTTCTAGGTATGTTAACTCTAAGCTTACGAATGTCCCAAAAATTGGAAAGAAGTATTTAATATACATTCTTATAATATTCTGTAACACTTTCACTTAACTAGACAATACACATTGCGGTCGGTTATGTGCTGATCACATCAGATTTTTTTATTTTGGGTCTCTTGGTTCTCTTTTTTAATTGTGCAATAAGAATATCTCAGAAAAAAAAGTTTTACCCATTCCGGATGCCCAAATCGATGGTATACGTTAAAGCACCGATTACTGGATCACTCTGTATATATTTATAATGTATTCATATTATATATTTACAATGTATGTTTGAAAAATTTCGCTAATTCTTGTGCTTTAAATTAATTAAAAAGTAGAAAACTAAAACCGAATTTTGTTTTATTATAATTTTACATCCAAATGTACTCGTATGCCTGTATAACAATGTGTGAAATTGTATGTATGCAATAGAAAACACAAAAAATTGACTTATTATTATCTTATATACAAAATTTTCCAATCTTTTTAAATTTATAAAAGTATAAGGTAAGAAACGTCATCAAAGTTTAATTAGCACCAATTATAATTACAATTGAAACATAGCTATGCACTTTAAAATATCCATTGGATACATCATCAGCCTTAATAGTAAAATATTGTTCCCACATTTGCATTTAAATAGTGTCATTAAAATTATATATTAATAGCGTTTCATGTGTCACGAAATACACGCGACATGAACTTTTATATTTAAGAAGAGATACAGTCAAAGTTAACAAAAGCTTAACTTCAGTATGTTTGCCCATCTAATCTGTACTATAATTAGCACCATTTCTATTACCATTTCTATTACTATTATTAGCACCTTTTCTCCAGAACCAAATTTTTATATGTACCCAAGGTTTAGTTCTCCAAAATCGTGAAAATGTAAGTTGTGAACCAGGTGCCATACTGATATGTAATTCGATTACCTACCTATGCTTGAGTACACTCCCCTGCCCTATATGAAAGAGTAGATCAATAGATGGCAGGATTAGTTTCTTTCTTTTTTGCCAGCAGGGCCTTAATGAAAATATTTTACAATAGATGGATACATTTAATTTGTAAATTGATGGAAAATGTTTTAAAATATTTTTATAGTATTATTTCGGAATTAAAAACAACAAATAATTAAAATAAAGTTGGGTCAAACCAATGGTTTATAAAATAGCACCTTTCCCTTCAACAAGTGAAAGTACTGCTTTTGAAAACAATCTATTACATTATTAATATTACTTCCATTCATATACCAAATTATTTCAAAGGTTGTACATATTTAGGGTGCAGGTATATATGTATGTATATTCTTGCTCAATGTAAAATTTTGTGTTCACTTGAACATGTCCACTCGTCTGTTAGTCTGTCCGATCACACGATAAATTAAAAAACGAATAATGTAATCGATACTTTACTTTTACAAGTTGCTTCTTCTGTTAAAACGGCGGCTGCTATTGTAATTGGATCGATTCGGACGACGGGCTCGAGTAGCTGCCATACAACTCAAAAAGTTTTTTTTTTTAAATTTCAAAAACTAATAAAGATACTCGTATTAGTATCAAATTTTGCAAAGATGTGTCCAATTAAACTCTACATTTGTTTTGAAAATTTTAATGGAATGGCTACACTGATTTGGGTGGCTGCCATATAATTCCAAAAGCTTATTTTAAATATTTGGAAAAAGAATAAAGTTAGATTTATAAAACTCGGTAGTCGTGTGTCCAATTATAGGTCATATATATTCCTGAAATTTTGGTGAAATGACTTGCCAATTTTAATTATTTGGGAAAATAATAAAGTTAGATTCATGAAACTTGGCAGTTGTGTATCTAATTATAGATCAAACATGTTCGTGCAGTTTCCATAAAGTGGTTTGACAGGTTCTAGTATTTAGTATACAACAATTCAAACTAGGTATTTCAAAAACAAATTTTAAACTCAGATTGCCAAGGTGCAGGTTATGATTCCGCCGGTTTATACCGACTGAAACGTTTTTACATTTTTGTTTATATTTTTTTTAAGTATTAATTCAAAATGCATCAAATTACGTTAAGATGTTACAATCCTATGTTAGGATTAAAAATATTGTTTAGGGCTTTGTTATTCTGCTGCCAAAATTTAACATACCCAATATAAAATTTACATAATAATATTACATACAACTCGAAAAAAACCGCTGAATATTGTAGAAAACGATGCAGAAAAATATTTGGTTTTATTTAAAAATAAGGCAACCAATTAAATTAAACAATCAAATAAATTAACCAAATATATTTTTATATATAAAATGTTTTTTTTTTGTAATTAATTCCGCTTGAAAATTTTGCATAAAAGTGTGCACGACATATTTTGAAAATTTGTAAATCGATATTCTTATTTCGAACATTAGCTACAATCAAAGTCTTTTTAAATAAAAATAAAAAGTTGGGTCAAACCAATGGTTTGTATTGTAGCACTTTTCCCTCCTACAAGTGAAAATTCTGCTTTTAAATACAGTCTATGTGTATGTACCTATCACACTATTAAAATTATTTTCATTCACATACAAAACTAGTTCTAGGATTGCATATATTTAGGATGAATGATTTATGCAGTCTTTGAAATAAAGCAAAAATTAATAAAAAGTGGGTTTAACACAATGCTCGATTTTAAGGCCTAATTGTGTGAGTTTAGAAAAATAATTATATTTTTTAATGTCATGGAATTTACCGTTAGCTTTTTGCGTTTGAAGAAATTTGAAAAAGCTTGCGGTTTCGGAAATATAAGGTGTCAAAAATTTAAATTTTACAAATTTCAAGAGGCGATAACTTGAAAGGGGGTGGAGATGGAAAAAAATTTAAACAGAGTGAAACTAATAAGCACTTTTTTCAAAAATTTTTTGGAAAAGTGCTAAAAAGAACATGGTACACTTTTTTTTTAATTATTTTTACAATACTTTAAAAAAGTAATTCACATTGTATTTTTAATTGGTGTTTTAAATATGTGACAAACAAATTAAGTATTAATGGAAATTTTCAAAATAATCTTGTATTATTTATTATTCATCTTTTTGTTAAATACTAAAGCCATTAGAATAAAGTTTAATTTTATGTAAAAAAAAAACTATTATACTCAGTATACCAATATTGTAAATGTTTAATTCTAAATTCATGTTCATACATATATGTATGTAGGATTTGCACGAACGCGTTCGGGTTATTCAGATTGACGGTTAATACTTTCTTAATTTTGAATCGTATAAATAAAATGTCCGATAAAACCGTTGAATACAATATTCAGGAAATTTTTCAAAATGATTTTAAAAAAGTGATAAAACAAACAAAAAAATCAAAAAAGTTTTTAAAGAAGAAAAAATTTCGATTCAAGAAATTTTGGAACACTTTTTTAAAAACAAGTGGTATTCATGGCCTTTCGTATTTAGCAAATAAAAAACTGCATCAAACTGAAAGGTTAAATATTAAACATAATATAATTCTTACTTTTTATTATTTAACATTTAATTGTAGATCTTTATTTTGGTTAGTTTTAGTAGTTGCATCAGTTTTCTTTTGTATAAGTCTCGGTTTTAATTCGCTTGACCGATTCAGAAATGCAAGTACTGTAGTATCTCTTGAAAAAGATTACTTCTTTTGGAGAAGAACAACTCCTTCGATTACAATATGTCCTTTTGAGAGGCTAAATAGGACATTATTTGAAAAATATGCAAAGTAATTTATAAAATTTGTTTTATTGAATAATTTGTTGTATAACAATATTTACTTTTGATAATATTTTACCATTTATAGTTCTAGAAATATTCACAATGAAACTATCAAGGAAAACTTTTTCCAATTCCTTGAATCTTTAGCTAACTCAACGTACATAAATTTTGAGAGAATTAAAATATTTCCTGGAATGGAGGTAGTACATATGAAACATATAATTTTTTCTAACTTAAAAAATTTACAGTAAACTCGTTTTATTTTTAGAATTTTCATGTGGATCCATATGATTATCTAGAGTTAATTTTTAATTTAACTGGAGACGATCGTCTTAATTTTGACAATAGCAAAAGAATTCGGGCAATCAGTGGTAATCCACATGAATTGCATACAAGGTTCGTATTATATTGTGTAAAATTAATTTTTTCAATTAGACTTTCATATAAGTGTGTGCATTTTTTGTATACATCCTTACATGTATGAAATAATAACATATTTTTTAGACAAATTTTAACTGAGTTTGGATTATGTTACACAACAAATAATTTACTCTCAGACAATATTTCTACGGAAAGCCTTATTTTTAATAAACCACCTCAAAAAAGTATAAATGAAAAAGTTATTTACAAGGATCCGGAACACAATTTATTAAAATCTGATGTAACGCAAACTGATATTCAATACGATTTTGTAGGCTTTACCAGTAACTACTTAGCTGTAAAATATTTCTGTATTATTTTATATTTAAAAAATATACATAAAAAAACTTTTTTCTTAATTAGATTTATATACACAATCCTTTAGAGGTGATGTCTATACATAAAAGTAAATATGAATATACATATATTGTAAAACAACAAGTTTATATGTAACTTAAATTTCTTTTTCAAGATTATTATTTAGGTTCGAGACCCCCTATTGAATTTTTGGTGCAAACTTTAGAAATTTTGACAGAAGAAAATTTTGAAACGTATAAAATATAAAAAATTTGTACATGCATACATACATATGTAAAATTTACATTTTTTCTTATAGAAAAACAACAATTAGTCAAAGGAGGTGTAGATTTCCTAATGAATCAAATTTGACGCATTTTACAGTTTACACAAAAAATATTTGCTATGAGGAATGTCGTCTCGAAGCAGCTTATATTTTATGTAAATGTATACCACATTTTTATCCAAATCCAGGTGAAATTTACAAGAATCTTTAAAATAAAGTTAAAGCCCATTAAATTTATGATAAAACAACTTTAGGCAAAATCAAAAGAATTTGCAATTACACTGAACTTATGACATGTTTCCCTAAGTATACTGGTATGTCCATCCACACATACATATATACATATGTATACGTACACATTTCATAAAAAAATTAACAAAAAAATTTTCATTTTTCATAAAAACTACTTTCTATTTGCAGATAACTTTTTATACTTACGCTTTAAAAATATACCCGTACTGAAAAATTTCAAATGCTACTGTCTTCAAAATTGTCGTGAATCAAGAGTTCTTTTGTTGGACACAAGGGTAGAAAATTTTTTTTCATTTTTGTTTAAGGATCCTAAACCTTATTCTAAAAAAAATATTTTAGTTTAATCATGGAATGGATAAATTTATTTCTGGCAGAGGAACAACAGTTATTGTAGACAAACATTCAAACATTAGATATATGCGAAAAGTTATTTTCACTTTTGAAGATCTTTTAGGTGTGCTAATTAAAATTCAGATAAGCTACATTATTAAACTTTTTCATTTCAGTTTCGATTGGAGGAACAGCTGGTTTTTTTTTAGGGATAAGTGTTCTAAGTGCTTTAGAAGTTATTTATTATTTGACTCTTAGATTATACTGGTATGTAAAAGATCTCAAATAAAATGAGATATCGATTTTTCGATATTTTTCAAAATTTTGGAAATCAATAAAACCAAAATGTAAAACTAAATGCGAGTTTTGATTGTGTAAAATACGAAATCTTAAAAATTTAAGGTTTCTACAACGAATCCATAATGTATAGCTTTATTTCTGACATTAAAGTACGAAAAATTATGTTCGCTTATATGATAATATTTATTTTACCATTTTTTACTGTGATGTAGAAAATCAGTTTTAAAAGAACGTGCATATTTATAAATTTAGAATGACAAGTTTTTGAAAATTCAAAAATTATACAATCCTTGTGTTGTATTATCAGAACCGTGACAAAAAACTTTGAGTGCATATGTATGTACATTAGTTGTATTTTTATTCTTATCCTTTTTATATTGTTATATGTTTTTGTATAAATGCTTAAAATTTAATAAATCTATTTTTTATATGTATGTATATATCTTCCATATTATATTTATTTCATCATTTTTATTTTTTAAAATATAAATAAAAATTATAAAATAATAAAAACATTAAAATATAATTTTTTGTGTTTATCTTTTTTTGTGTTTTTTTTTTTCGTTTTTTTTTTTGGAAATAAGATTCAATGTATTAATTAAAATTTTTGCCTACTTATAAAATAGCGTTAATGTTTTTCATATAATTACTTTTTTTATCAATTTTAAAAAGTTAATTTATTTTAAAAAGGCTTTTTGTATAAAGTTAATTTATATGTTTTTTGATTTTTTTTGTGTTATATGTGGTATGTATATTAAAACATAAATATATATCTAGGAAAGTATTTAGCCTACAATTCAAAGAGAAATATAGCTACTTAGAAAACAAGTGATCAAAGAACAAATGGAATAACTTTTTATTCCTTACATTTATTCTTAATAAATACACATCAGACAAAAATAAAACACACTTTGAATTATAATTTTTTTCCACAGAACCGAAATTCGAATGCAAAATACAGGGTAATGTGGTTAAAAAGAAAAAAATTAAAAAAAAAAAATAATTTATTTTATTTGCCACGAAAAACAAAAATTGTACTATTTTAATTTTACCTCTATTTGATTTGAATAGTTGATGAATTCGGTTTGTTTTATTTTTTTTAAGAAATACAAATAATTATTTGTGTTAACCTAAGATGTTAGTGTTAAAAAATTCCTTAATTTTATATTAAGTAGTAGTGTTTTTCTTTATTATTTTTTTGTGTTTTATCAATTGTGTTTTATTTTATAAATAGGGAATATTCATGAATTAAAAATTTAGCTTTTAATTAGTTTAGCTTAACTTTTTTCAGTTTTTCCTCTGGTTTTTTATATTTAAAAAGAAGCCAAATAATTTTTCCATAATTTTCTAGTAACCATATTTTACGAAGTATCAACATCATTTTCGTCAACCATTTCAAAATCTTTTCCTGTTGATGATCTAGAACCTGACTCTGATTCACTTTCTGTCGCTGAGCTAAAAAAAATAAATTATTAATAATTCTTAAAAATAATTTAATACTTAAAAACAGTATTTAAAAAATATAAAAACTTTCTTTAAAATCAACCAATAATACTTTAAAAGACTGTGTTCAATTTTTATTTTTTAACTTTGTATCCTATCCTATGTAATTGCTTATTTTTCAATAATTTTTGACATCACAACTAAAGCTCGCTTTATAAGTATGTTGGTGGCTTTTTACAAATATTTTTAGTTGCACTTAATTAAATTTCGATTAAAATATCATATATTCAATTTACATTGAAGGTATTGATGTGCGAAAGAAATTTTTAATTTTATTTAGTTATTTTTGAATTCGATAATTCTATGAAAATAATTCGATAATTACTATGAAATAATGGAGAAATAAATATTTTGTTATAATCGTTGCTGAAGAATTTGATTTTTTTTATTAATAAATTTGAATTGAAATAATATTGAATTTATTTTGTAATCAAAGAAAAAAAATTGTCTTTTATCCATTGTATTATTGATTGATTTATAAGTAAGTTTTAAGCTTGTAATTAATACAGCGTTCATATTAGAAAGTTTACCCTTTTTTCTCGGTTGATTTATTTGTTTGTTTATTTGACGATTCACTTGACTGTGTTCTTCTAAATTCTTCACTTCTTCTAAATTCTTCACAATGCTGCAAATGTGCCAATTCCTCATCATGCTCAGCATCGTGCTCTTTTACAGCTTCGATTTTTTCTTCTAGTAAGGGTGTTATATCTTCAGCTTCATTTTCGACCTCAATTTCTGCTTCAGCTTCCGCTTCAACTTCAGCATCACTATCTTTATCTTTTTTCTTCTTTTTTGTTTTCTTATTAGCTTTTGCATTTTCTATATCACTATGATATTTAGTCTGCAATAATTTATTTCACATGAGTTTTGAAAACTTTAAAGTTTTTAACTTACTTCATATAATGGCCAAAATGATGCAAAAAATCCAACATCCTCAGTTAAATTGGGGAATATCCAAAAGTATAGTTTACCACCCGACAAAATCCATATTATAACAAAAACGATTAAACGTATTATAGTTAAAACAAGTATAAAAACTAAGAATCCAGCGGCAGCTATACTTAAATAATAGACTCCTTTACGTAATATTGGTGGCCACAAAGGAAATAGACAAACAACAATTGCTCCTAATACCAATATCAATCCAAATATCCAATAATGAATAGGTATGGGGTCGTAAATCCAAACGTATGCTTCAGATCCGTCAACAAATTGCTGATCTGCATGCATGTCCAATTTTATTTTTCTTTTACGTTTTTCTTTATTTTGTTTTTCCCCATTCTCGTCTTGGCTTCCTGAAATAGCACCACCACCGCCAACTCCTTCAGCATAACTATCATGATCTGTATTTTTATCATGTTTATCATCTTTATTACAACTTGTTTCTTTGTGTTGCGATTTCGATTCTGATGAAGAAACATCTCCTGATTGAATCTTTTTTTTACTTGATTTCAATTCGTCTGAATATACGGGAACTTTTTTTGCACGATGGAAGAACTTATGTTCCAACATAATGTGAAGGAAATTTATTGCATGTTCCCTTGATGGAAAAAGTGGATTATCTCCTTCAGCAAATTTTGAACTCATAAGAGCATCTAGGGCCTTGTTTGCTAAAGAGAAAGAATTTACAGTATATTACAAAACCATTGCGTTATTGTGCTAGTTACCTGTAAAATATTCCACATTATGACTTAAAAACTTTGTTTTTTTGGTTTTCACATTTCGTCTTAACCATTTCGCTACATTATATTCATCTTTAGTTGGTTCCTGCTCTTCAGGGCCGGTATATTCCTAAAATAATTAATTATGATTATAATAGAATCAAATATCATAATAATCTGTTATTCTACGGTATCTTCAATTTCTTCTTGTTTTCCAATCCCGAATTTCTTTTTTATATTTTCGGAATTGAAATTAAAATATAAAAAACTGGAAACGTAACTAGTTCCAGCATAATCAAATTCATCGTCGGACATTTCTCCTTAACAAATTATATTAAACATGTACACGTGGGCAAAAGTTAATTAAAAATTAATAATTTGAAACGCTGACAACAAATTTTACCACAGGTAATTAAAAAATACGTTTATATTTTTATTGCAGCAAGATGTAAAAAATACTAAGTTCATTTTTAAAATTGAAAAACAACTTCAACCAGATTTATTTTTTGTTATTTTTTTTTTTTTTTGCACAATAGTAATTTTAAATGATATGATTCATAAAAGCTATTTTTGAATATTAAATTTATAATTAGTAAATATTTTATTGGTTTAAAAAAAAATATAATTAACTAAATTCAGTTAACGAAATGAGCGTTAAGGGAAAAGTTCTTGAATATCAAAGAGAAATATTTGAAAATTTATTTTGTTGGCTTTACTCTTGACAATAAGTTAAAATCAATTGTTGAGAATAAATCGTAAAATTCAATTTTAGAAGCTCGCTTTAAAGCTCTTTTTGTTGTAGTAAACTTTTCAATTTGTCACGGTAATTACCCACAAAGTATTATTATGTAGATACATAACATAGAGACATTAAAGAACATGCATAAAAAATGATTTAAATATCAAAGCTTAAAAAATTGAATTTAAAAGTGCAAATATAAATTACCTCGAAATAAAAAAAGTTTGATCTGTGAACTCTATTTTTTTAATAAAGTATGGGAATCATCTAAGACATAAAAGTATTTACATATATAAAATTATAATAAATGTGCTTCTAAGGAATTAATGGTATATTTCAAAACTAATGAAAATGACACGTTACTGTTCTATTTCTTTTGAACAAAATTAAACCAAATTGAAAACACTTTGTACCTATATGTAAACTATTTAGCGTGATATTTTCCTGAAGTGTTAAACGAAAGCGGTGAATAGAATCAATTTATATAAATTTGCTTTTTTTTTTATTTCTCAGGTAAGAGGCGTAGATACATACGTACAGCACATAAAATATAATTTTATTTTTGCTTTTTTTTAACCAACAAAATGGAACAAAGAAAATTTCTCTTATTTTTTTGATAACGACTGATGAACTCTATTCAACACAATATACATGTATGTACCTATCTGGGTACCTACATGTAAATACTAATTATTCAGGTATTGTTTGCAGTCTTTATATAGAAATACGTCTAAATTAATTCACAAAGCATTTATGTATCTTTCTGAAAATGATCGGTATATCATGATGTTTTCCAAAATTTAAAGAAATAGCATTAAAATATTGACATGTTAATTTATAAATATGGTAACAAAATATTAAAAAGCAATTGAGTAAATAAATTGTTAGCTACATTGATTCTGCGCAATTAAAAAAAATTTTCACAATTATTATGCTATAGCTAAAAACTTTTGCAAAGGGAAAAAAATTGATTGAAATCAATTGAAATCCATTTAATTCAGATTTTAAATAACAAAAAAAAGAAAACAATCTTTATAATTCAATTAAACTATGATTATAAATATGTACATAATGTACTGCCTTCACCAGAGAAAGTTTTTCCTATTTCCTTAGAATTTTATGACAACGTCACAAAGTAATCTCCACGAATCTAAAATTTGTTTTTGAAAATAAAGCAAACCTAGTAATCTGTTTCTAATCCAATATATGGTATACCTTAAATCACTTCTATAGAATATTATCATTTTCACAAAAAAAAATAAATTTAAAATAAAAGGAAAAAAACACTTGACTTACATCTTTTCTGCGTCTCACTCTTTTCGACATTTTTACATTAACATTTCATTCATTACTGTCTGTAACTGTCTTCTTCATTTTACTGCTGCCAATATGACGTTTTGAAAAATTTTTAATATTACACAGTGCTGCCATTTTCAAAAATAATTTATTCCGACGATATACATTTGTGTACATCTCGACATGGCAAAAATACTGGCTTGTTCAATCTTGACAATTCTTCATATATAAAAAAAGCGTTTCTACGTGTCCTTTAGAAATTAAAAAAAAAACCTTCAAAAACATAGTAAACCCATTACAATCGAAGTTTTCTTCTAAATTGAATCTAGATTTTTTACCGTGAAATCTTAAAATTCTGTATTCTGTAGATTTATGTTACCTTAACGTCACAAAATTGTTTAATAAAACTTTCCACATTTAGAAGTCCATTCACGAGACAACACCTTTCTGAATTTGAATTACTATAATTATGAATGGAATTAAATATTAGCTGATAAAAATCAGCTAATATTTAATTCCATTCATTTACAAATCTGTGTAGCATTCTCGACCATATAGAAATACTTATAAAAACCAATTCCATATAAAAAATTTTCTGCAATTTCAAACAATTGAAATATAAGAGATAACTCATTTATTAAAAAACTATAAATCTTTACTACCAATTAACCTCCTTAATTTGATTTATAGTAATACACTGTTATTAGTAAATTATTTACTAATATTTGTAATTAAATTTTGCCACAAAATAACATCTTTTTACCTTTTTTTTTTAATTTATGAAATCTTTTTTAATGAAATGCCAAATTTTTGGTAACAAAAATTATATTTTGATTGTTGTTTAATAAGGTAACTGAGTTTAAATTTAGTTCTGTCTCGGGGTAGACCAATGGTTTTTAAAGTATGACTTAGTTCAAAGTCAAAATTTTCAACTTATGTTTGAATTTTCTATTAATGGTTCACAAAATTCAAATCTTTTCCTTAAGAAAACTGGAATTGAAAATGGGCACAAAACATTAAATAAAAGAATAAAAATTAAATAAAAGAATAAATTGTTCTACGTTGCTAAATGTAATGATATTTAAAGCTAAAACTATCAAATTGAAAACTCGGAATTGAAAAACTTAACCACCACTATTGTGGTGAGATCGCGAAGTTCTTTGTGCTCTTGGAATCAAATAAGGAACGCTCTTTACCGAGTACCTTGGTAAAATGTATTATGCATTATATTTCGATTGGAATTTCTTCTACAATAATCAAATCGTCCACATTTACGCATGGAGGTTCAATGTTTTCGTTATACTTTCAATGCGAATATTATCATTTTTCGTCGCCACTTTTTCTCTTATTTCTTTTATAGATGCCACTAAATAGTCGTGAACATGGAAAATCAATACATTTTTCATGACTTCATATTAAACACTGAATATGTTATACAATATTTTTATCTATTTTCGTTCCGTTCATCAAAGTATCTGAATCCGTTCGATTTACTTGTTTAATTTGACACTCCACTCTTGATGTTCTTGGGACCACTTTCCATATGATATGTTATAAAATTCCATATGATATGTTACAAAAATGCCGTATGATAATGATATGTTACAAAATTCTCTAAATGCCTTACGGACACATACAGTGCATTTCTCTCTTTATTATGTACTTCTGTATATACATACATAACAGTATTGTACAAGCCACATGTAAAAAATATTAGATTTTAAACCGCCTCTTTAAAGTTTACATATGTATTAATTTTACAAAAATTTTGCATTGTAAAAAGTCTACAGATTACTCTTACTATATTTTACTTTTTATATTGAATCTCGAACACATTTGAAATTAATTTGTTAAAATCGTAAGTTTTAACATTCGCACATGATTTTACAGTTTGACAACTTGCCTTAAAACTTATCAACTTCATTACTGTTTTGCGGAATATAGCTTTACAACAATTTTACTGAAAATAACAAAAATTTAAAAAATAACTAATTTATGGCTATAAAATATAGAATTACTGAAATGAATGGCCAACTTTATTTCATTCTAAAAATTGCAGAAAATTGGTCGTTCTACAATGATGATAAAACAATGCAGAATTGAAAGCTTGTTTGTAAAAAAAATTTAAAAAATGGTTTTGACTATTTTTTTCATATATGTATGTATATAAATTATTTTTATATTTCCACAAGTTCAAACACAAAAAAGGTTGAATTTGGGAAGTTTTCATTTATGCACGCTGTTCTTGAAGTTCTACATTAGAACTTAAGTTTCCAAGTCGCGGCGTGAAGCACTATGACAAAACTTCAGTTAAGTTTTTTGGTCAAGAAGTCTACAATTTCGGTACCTCTAAAATCTAAATAATCAGTCGTTCGAAAATAATATACATAACACATTACTTATGTACATTGTTTTTTCCTTTTTTGCAAAAATAATTGAATTTTTCTATCCTTTAGTAATTACGGGGCTGTTGTCCATTAATTTATTTAAATGCTCGATTTAGGAAAAAAACGAATTTTTTTAGTTCGAATGAAAGCATTCACAGATCATAATTAAAAAAATATAAATCGGGTATCGAAAATACCGAGCAGGCTTTTCTTACACATGTCATATAAATGTTGCCAGAAATAACCAATTGAATAAACAACCATATATTTTTAGCAATAAAGTGCTAGTTGTTAAGATTTTTTCCTAAAATGCAACATAAAAGTACTATGTTTTTAACGATGTGGTAACGTTTGTTAAAAATTAACACTTGCACAGAACCAGTGTTCCCACTCGTTAAAAATAGAATGTATCCAATTTCGAGAAAAAAAATGTATCCAGCCTCCTGAAGTAGAATTTTTATACTAAGTCGTCTTTTTTTGTACAAATAAACTCACAATTAATATTAATTTGGTTTTTTTAATAATTTGAGTTTTGTTATTTATAGTAAATTATTTAAGAAATCACACACAACTTCTCTTGCATTTTAAATGGTTTACACCAAAATATTTATGATACGTTCTTGTTTTAATGTTCTAGATTTAAATACAGGAAGAGGAAGTAACTCATTTAATAAAATATCTTTCTTACTTTCTTCTAACAAATTTTTAAATCTGCTCAGTAAAGCCAGCAAATAATATTTTTTCGAAGATAAAGCAAATTCGCGATTTAAAATTATCAGCACAGTTTTGTAATATTTATTTGGTGTTTGAGAAAGAAATGTATCCAAATTTTAACAATATTTTAATATGTAACCAATTTTGATACTTCAGCAGATTTGAGCATCTCTGTATCCACGCTAAATTTAAAGCAAAAAATGTATCCAAATGGATGCAATTGTATCCATGTGGGAACGCTGCACAGAACTTTAAATTGAAATATTCAAACAACGTATCACAAACGTCAAAGTTCGTATTAATATTGTAAAAATTGTATTCCAAAATGTATCAAAAGCTTTAGCAGTTTTTTTTTTGCAATGTAAAGGTATTGAAAGCTCTGAGACAGTAGTATAATCGTATTAACACCGTACTTAAACTTTTTATAAAGCATTATTGAAGTCAAGGTTCTTTACAGAAATAGCAACCAAAAAATATAAATAAATATTTGATAGTTGAAATTAAATTGATTTTGACACCCCGAACGATACTGCCATTGGTGATTTACAATCTCCACGAAAAGAATTTGTGATCATTCAAAAGACTACGTTGTATCTATGTTCTAATTCGTAGAATTTTATGAGTGGAATTCATGATAGAGCTGTAAATGTCTGCAGCGTAAAATTTCATGAACTCAACCTTTATTTTACAATAATTTGACTATTCGAGGCTGTATTCGAGAACGTATCAAGACTACTACAACAATATACACACTCTAATATGAAAATACTAAAGTAGTAATTAAATTACTTTATATTTAAATACAATTCACTTTATTCAAATTTAAACATGTATATGTATGTATTTTTAGTCATTTTTAAATAAACGATAAAATGAAATTATTTTGTATACACATTTTAATTGGCATTTTACAAGTTAGATTTAAAAAATAAATCCATTGTGTACTGCTTTACTATCATCTTAAATAAAAAAATATAAAATAACAGCTTCAATTAATGTAATTTCTTTTTTCCATCTTTTATAGCTTAAAAACTAGTAGGTTTCTCTATTTAATTTTTAATTTTTTTTTTTTTTTTGACAATGAACAACACTTTTAATTTTAATATGATCCTTAAAACTGACCAAAATAAATAAAAAAAAATTTTCTTATACATTTTTAAAATCAATAGAACGATCGTCGTAAAATATTTCTGTTTCAGATGGTTCTGTTCCAAAATAACGATCTCCGAAATTACCAATACCAGGTATAACATAAAATTTATCGTTTATTTCTGGATCTAAAGCTGACGAAACAATTTTAACCTAAAATATAAAAATAAATTTCAAATAATTTATGAATCTTTCATTTAAAAAAAAGTTTTTTTTTACCTTAGGAAATGCATATGCTATAGAATGAACCCCAATTTCAGCCATTAATAAAGATACTAATATAATGTTTGATTCTTGAACATCATGATCTAATAATACTCTAATTGCCATTAAAGCAGCAGCACCTGTTGCAACTGTTGCATCCATTAAAATTACTTGATAATCTTTAATATCTTTTGGTAACCTTAAATAATATAATTCTGGTTCACCAGTTGTGTGATTTGTTTGAATTAAAATTTTTCCAATACGAATATTTTTTAAAACATCACAGACAGCCTGTTCCATCGTTTCACCAGCACGTAAAATTGAAACTCCACATATTTTTTTACAAGCTAAACGTTTTCCTATTACGTAAGTACAGTATAAAAGTTAAAGAAAATAAAATAAAAAATTATAATACAAAATCAAACATACCTTGATATTGGACACCTTGCGGTGTTTCCACTGTTGTATCTTTAAATGGAAATAAACTTAAAGCATATTCAATAACTAAACGTATCAGTCTTTTTGAATAAAATATGAACTCATCACGTGATGTGTTCTTATTTCTAATAAACGTATGAAGACCCTTAATTTGTGGAGTTGACGGTAATAAATTAAGTGAATCTGGCATTGGTTGTCCTATATATGAATGTGCTAAAGTCTCACGTAACTTAAAACCTCTCTGTCATAATATATTTATATTATTATACATCAAGAAACAAAATTGAGAATATTATATTTTTACCAATTGTAATTGTGTATGAACATGTTGTACAATTAAATGTATGGCTACTTTATTTTCACCACCCCTTGGTACTATAATATCAGCATGTATCATAGATGGGGCAATATAATTTGCATAACTTGGTTTCACCATTGTTGAATACTGTTTTAATACGCCTTCAAGATCTCTACCACGCTGAGATATGTCTCTACAAGAACAGAGTAACAAACGTTTATTCGATTATATTTCTAAGATCATCTTAATTTATAAAAAAAAATTTTAGGCCCTTATTATGATCAGCGAAGCGAATGAAATTTTTGGCGAATATGAATTTTCAGTGGCGAATGAATTTTTGGGTGGCGAATGAGCTGTCAAATCTGTCGAATGAAAATTCTGTGTGACAAAGTTGGAGAATGAAAAATCAAACTAATGCATAATTGTTTTTTTTATTAGATATTATAGTATTTATAATGATATAATGGAAAAATCTAAACTATCCGTAAAGTTAGTTCATGAAATTATTAAACAATCAATATTTTTTACAAATTATTGTAAAAAATATTGATTGTTTAATATTAATTTAAGCGTGGAAAAAAAACGAACAAAAAGCAATTCGAGCGTTTATACAAATTAATGGACAACAATCCCGTAATTGCTAAAGGATAGAAAAATTCAATTGTTTTTGCAAAAAAGCCAAAACAATGTACATATGTGTGGTGTTAACCTTATTATTTTAGGTAGTTGTTCTGATGTCTTGCGATAGCAACATTTTGGATCTGGCGAATGAAAGCATTCGCCGTTTATAATTTAAAATATCATTCGATTCGCCTAGTCCATTCGACTCGCCTAGCCATTCGCTTCGTCGATCATAATAAGGGTATTAATAAATTTTCTTTAAAAATATACCTCTTTAATCTTCTTGCTAGACGAATATCAGCATCAGTATCAACAAAAACTTTCATATCTAATAACTTAAGTACTTCTGGATTATGAAACACTAAAATTCCTTCAAAAATTATAACATTTGCGCCGTACATTGTTTTCTAAATTATATAATTGAATAATATTAAATTTACTTGGTAAAAACATTTGCTACTAACTGTGTGATTTTCTCTTGAATGTGTTACAAAATTATAAACCGGAACCTCAACTTTACGACCTTCTTTTAATTTTTTAAGTACATCAATCAATAAATCAATATCAAAAGCATCGGGATGATCAAAATTATATTCATTTTCTATGGCTTGATCATGTTGTTTTTCATTTAAAACCTGAAAATATTTCATTTATTTCAAATATTAAATTCATCAAACATTATTTTAAATTATTTAATAAACTTGTTAATAAATAACACTAGCTACGGTAATAGTATTGACTTCGATTCTATTAAGTATTGGATTTGTATGTAATGAAAGCGTAAAGCAAAAATATTTTGTTTTAAAACGTTATAAAAATTTTGCAGTCAAATATTTTCTAAACAAAAGTTTGAAATACCGAAATATTAAAATAAAAATATTCTACAATTAAATAAATATTTTTTTTAAATCATCAAAAAAAGCACTAAAAAGTTTATGGTGTTTTAAAAAATGTTTTAATGAGTACTATGCATTTACAAATTATAATTTTGTCACTAATGACCAAAGATGTAATTAAAAAATTTTCGATTTTGCAGGTCTATGATGAATAAATTTAACAAAATTAATATATTTTTTTGCTACAAACACTCATATTTGAAGTGTACTATGTACCGTTAAATAGTTTCATTACGTGTCATGCCACTCTTTTTCACTGATAATTACCTGTATTATGTACCTAATTACCCTTTTTTTAGTCAATTTCAAATTAAAATTCTAATTGTTTTATCAAGTATGTACAATAAGATTACAAGCACTTTTCGAATATGCTTACTAATGTTTCGATTGAATGTTTTCATATTTTATTGAATGTATCGAAAAAAATTTTTGATTTATGATGAATTTCGATTAAACATGTGATCGAAATGACTTAATCCTGCCTAAATTTTATGTACTTTTTGATGTAAAACATAAGAAAACTATTCTTCGCACTTGAACATTTTTATATTATGTAAGTATTATGATACTCAACCCACTTTCTTCTCAATCGGTAAGTAAAAAAGTAAGTAGAGAGTATTCTCTTATAATAACAAAATTTTACAATATTATTGAAATATGCGAATCAATCTTTATTTTGATTTGATGTGCGAGTGCTGATATGTGAAATTTAAGCATCTTTAAAAACAAAAACCCCACAATATTACAAAAATTTTAATATTATATACAGAGTTTTGCTTAGTTTTCTAGATATATGTAGTTAGTTTTTCTAAAATTAAACGTAAATTCCTAGTGAATGTGAATTAAAAATATAAGTACATATATCACGTGGTAAGTTCATACATAATATTTTTTTTTATTCAAATGAATATAAAACTAAGTGATTTTATTACACTAATATTTATTGATACTCGTATATAAATAGTACTTAACTTATGTTAAATATTAAGGAAAACAAAAAAAAAATTACATGTGTATATCTGGTGAAAAAACTAATTAATACAAGATTGTTATGCCACAAATATTACAATATACGTATGTACTTTGTTCATAAATTATATAATGAAGTGCTTGAAATAAAGCTTAATTAAAACACATAGTAATAAAGTATAAAGCATTCACCCAAACTCTGTTAGACGCATTACTTGGCGTGATGGGTTATGATTCAAAAATTTTGCGATTTCCTTAACGAAATCAATTTCGAAACTTGAAATTCTATAATGGAAACCAAATTATGTATTGTTCAGTAATATCCCATCACTTCAAGTGAATCTACTAACAACGTAGGTGACTGTGTAGAAAATACAGAGTGAATTTTTGCCTAACAGAGTAACTTTATCCTGTATCTTAACCACATTGATCTCACTAAATCATCATGAAAGTATTAACTTTAAAGCTTAATAGAATTGACAATGCGTCATAGCATAAAATGAACATTGTTTTCACATGCACTCCTATATGTTTATTCTTGCTCCTTACAAAATTAAGTATTTTATTAAATTGTATTATTCATTTCCTGTGAATAATGCAATTTAATTTCATTTTTTGATAATTAAATTTATAAAAAGAAGTTTATTATGTATAAAATTTCTATTCTAAATTATGTATAAAATTAACGATTTCTACTTTATAAGATTAAATATATGTTTTTTATTACTGTTTTTATTACTGATTCTAAAGTTAAAATTTTATAGATATTAAACTAAATTAAATTGAACTTTAATATATAAAATGCGTTCTCTCCGATTAGTGCAAGAGGTCGTGCATCGATGTACCAGAGCAAAACTTTGCACTGTTACAATAACAACTTATGTAAAATATGTAAATTATGTAAATTTATGTAAAATGTAAGTGACATTTAAAAAAATATTATTTCGTTTTAAAAAATACTTCAATATTTTTTTTGTTGTGCGTTATTTTATTCAAAGGTAATTTGTGTACAAAAATATGATTGTTAATTTTTAACGACATTGCATCCAAAAATTTTCCTTGGTCTTCCCTAGTTTGAAGAAAATTTGTTATTTTTTCCTTTCTTCCGCCCTAATACAATTTGTGAAAGTTAAAACCAATATTTTTTCTTTAAAAAATTTTGGTTTTATATTTAAAGTAAACGTATTAGGTTTGAAAAAACTTTAAAAAGAGAAACAATGACGTAATTTGTCGCAAAAAGATAATTTTCACCTTAAAAAAAATAAAACAGACGGAAAACTTGAAAAACTTTTAAAAACTTTATAAATAGGTGATAAACGTCAAATTATCAAACGTTTATGTTAAAAATTTTTTGGTTATGTAAAAAAACCAAAATTTTGATTTTGGATTATAAAAGTGTGAAACTTTTAGAATCCACTTTGTTTTTTTTTTTTTTAATTAAAACTTTTGAAAAAAAAAATTTTTGTTGATAAAAAAGTTTTTTTTGAATAATAAAACCTTCTGGCAACCAAAACACATGTTTCGACAGATGTAAAATTTTAAAAATTTTTAAAACGTTAAATTTTATTTTATAAAACTTGAAAAAACTTTAAACATTCAGAAAATGAAAACGTCACCAGTTTCTCTCCTTTTTGTCCGAAAAGTATTATCTGAGAGGCTTTGCATACAAAAACTTTAAAAAGTTTTTTCAATTTTGATAAAGTTTTTAAGAACAGTCTTATACCAGACAGACCTATTATAATACGAGATCTTCCACTTTAACTTAACACATGTGTACATGTCTGTGGGTATTTTTCAAAATTCAGTACTAAAGTGACAGTTCAAATAAAGAAAAAAGATTACGTCAAGTACTAACTGAAAAACAGAATTGATTTTTATTGTTTAAAAATCAGAAAAATTAATAAAAAAAAGTTTATTTGAAAAAAAAAATAATAGGCAGCAAAGAAAACACGACTTTCAATTTTTTCATATTTTTCACGCGACTAATTAGCAATACTTGATTTAACAAGAAAAGTTAGAACTAAATTTTCAATGGCACGGTATGTATGTACATACATTATTCCTTTTACAAAAATATTAAAATCTAAATTTTTTAATTAACTAGATGCATTGTATGTATATACGTATATCCGATATAAAATTAATAAAAATTTTTTCTAAGTATCAAATCTTACAATTTATGAAACAATTTCAAAAAATATTATTACCACATTTTTATTAAGTTTCCACGTACACATTTGTACGAAATTTAAATATTTTGCATAACAAAAATACAAAATACCTGTGAATTTTTATAATTTTTGTAGCCATTTTTTTTATTTTTACTATGATTTCCAATTAGATCCGGTTCTTTATTAAATTTTGTTGCATTTGATATTGAAATTGTTTGACTTTTATTAGCAATTATTTTACAATGATTACATAAAATCAATTGACTACCAGGAAATTGTTTAAATTTAACTGGAATTTCACAATTGGAACAAAACAAATTTGACTTCATTGCCTTTGCAGTTGATAAATCCTAAATTTTTAATAAAAAAAAAAATTTTTTTGTTTTTTTTGTACTTTTTAATATATTTTTAATTTATAATATATTATTATTATTTATATAATTTAACGTATGTACGTGTTATATAGTTTTGTGATTTAACTTTTATATATATATATATATATATATATATATATATATATATATATATATATATATATATATATATGTAATATGTGTATATATTCATATATATAAATGTATATATCCATATTTATATATGTATATACATATATAATTTAATATAATAGTTTAATTATATACAAATTTAGGTAATTACAGATACCCCAATCCAAGCTTTCAGTATTTTATAAATGTAAGTATGTAAACAGATGTTTATTAACAAATAAAAAAAATAGTATTCGTGCATGTAAATAAAAATGTAGTGTTTCGAATTTACATGTATACTTGTATATAGATATAAACTTGTGCACAAATTTAAATATTGTATAACTTAAAAGGCTTAAAATATTCAGTATTCAACAAAATATAATTTGCCACAACAGAAACAAAGTAAAATTAAATAAACCCTAACTTCAATATTGTGCATATATATCGCAATACTACAAAGTCAATATTTTATATGCACAAAAAACTGCAAAATCTAAAATTCAATGTAGTTTGTTATGCGTATAAAATGTGCAAATAATTAGTATTCCGAGCAAAGAAAAATTTGTACATGTTTATTTTGGCTTTGTCACAGCTGATTTGAAAATAACGATACTTAATTGTCAAAGTTAGGGGTACTAAGCATAATGACTAGTAACGTTCAAAAATAAACATCAGAACAAAACAGAATTTTTATTAGACGATCAAATTTAAAAATTACTTTAATTTAAATATCTGAGGGGTAAAAATATAATGAAAATGTTTAAATTAAAGACGAAACCAAAAAAAAGTTTTTTAATTTTATGTAAAAAAAAAAACTATAAAGAAAAATTAAAAAAAGTACTAAGTTTTTCCTTATTAAATGTCGTTTTGTTGTTGTATCCGCACTTCACGGACTTTATATGCAATGTTATATCCATATTGTGTCAGTTGAAACGCATATATCTGCACAACTGAAGTCAGAGAAATTTACATCAATTTACAAGTTTGTATCCGAACTTTATAAAATTAAGAATACATAGAAATTTTTTGAATCTTAAATATTTAACTACACCACAAAGCGAAATTTATTAAAACCATTTTTATATCGTTCCAATCTTAATTTATGTTTCGAATTTCAAGATGCATAAAATAAAACATTTTGAACGTATACGAGTAATGTTCTTGAAATTTTTGAATTTTTACATAATTGGCATTGAAACTTCACTTTATTTAAAAAAAAGCTTTCTTCTGCCATTTCTTAACATTCCTAAAGAACTTTACAAAATGGCAGAAGAAAAAATTCACCATAGGAATCACTACGAATTACTAATCAAGTCATCAACGTTAGAGCATCGGCCTGACAAAAAATGTTTTTTATATTAGTTTATGTAGTCAATTTGTTAAAGTATAAGTTATTGATTAATTTATATCAAAATAATTGCCGGCTAGGTGTAAGGATTTCCAATTAATTCAACGAATAATCGAACCTGATGAATGTTTAATAAAGTTTGTTTATTCTTCTTAATAGACATGATAATTTAAATATTATTTTACCATTTTAAAATACTTATATACTAAAATATTAAAATATATACTTTACTTTACAGATACAATAAATACTGTAACACAACGAATTAAATTTACATGAAATTGAGATAATACACCAACAATATGAATATGTATATGTGTATATATATATGATTACAATATGATTTTTATGAAATACAAAACAAAAAAAGCATGGTTTTTGTATAATTTTTGTTAGATCGCTTGCAAAGAAATAAATAAAACTAATTAAGGTGCCTGTTACACATCAAATTAAATCTTGAATTAAATTTAAATCTGATGAATATCTGAATTGTAATCGAAATCTGACATCAGATTAAGTTTGTCAGTTTATAAATTGCAAATATGTATTTAAAATTTTGTAGTTATTAAGGCTAAAAAACGTATTTAGACTTAGTTTGATGTGTAATCGTCACCTAACATTAAACGAAACAATGGTTAAAATTAGAATTAAAAAATACTTTCAGTTTTCTTATACAATAAAATAAAATTATAAATGTTTTGTTAATCGAGAAGTTGCATATCCATAATTTTTATGCAAATGCAATTCATTCTAAAAAATACGTTTAGAAAATTTAGCATAGTCAAAATAATGTCGAATATAATATCTATCAGATCACCAAGTTGAAATTATTTTTCGAAGTAACAAAATTTACAAAAATAATTCTATGTCCACTGTACTGCTTAGTATAAGACCACTGCTTGTGAAAATAAATTTTCACAAGCTTTTGCAGTTAGGCCAATTGCGTTACAGACTTTTGCATACTTCGATATAATTCGTGCTTTTTTCGCAACAAATGTAATATTGATTTATTTTTTATTAAAATTATTTTTTAATGTATTGAAAATTTAGAACATAGACTTTGGTGAATTTACCCTAAGAAAATTTTACAAATTTCGCTATATGGTACACTTTCATGAAAACTTCCCTGGTTTTTGCTTTTACAAATATCAAAATAAAGCTCCAAATTTTTATTTTTATACATAAATAATTTTTTTTTTTATATTTTCATAAGTAAGTGCAAATGCCCTAACTAAATTCTAGAGCATAAAAAGATAGTGAAAATTTTTCTCTGTAAATTTTTTTAGAAATAACCTCCCTAGACGAAACCGCAAAGTAACAAATACAGTACTTGATGCTTTACATCCCGACGAATTTCGATTGAAATATTATTTTGTTTTTCAATTCTTGAGTATTTTCACTTTATTTAATATTATATTAAAGACCATCGTGATTATTATAATTGTTACGTTTTTTTATTATAAGAGTTGCTTCGAGTTTTTTTTTAATTTTGAAATCAAACATGTGTTTTTGTAATGTACGAGTAGTATCCTCGCATTAGGAAAACAGGAAAAATCAGATGCGTAGAACCAGCAGAGTTAAGAAGTTATTTGTTCGAATACAAATTTGGAAATTATTTTTAATTTACTCTTTGAGCTTGATATCCTGACAGATATATTCGTATTAGTAAAAGCTTTAAAGAAATGTTAGTTTTTAAACCTACACAACAAGCATAAAATTTTTTGCTTACGTATACAGAAAGAACAAATATAATATATTGTTTCCATAATTCCATATAACTACACATATTATTTAGTTTACCTTGTAGAAACAATCCATTGACAATAATGTGACCCACGGAACATCTAAACTTTCAATAATTTTTTGCGCCACAGTGGTTTTACCCGAGGCGCTACCTCCGCATATTCCTAAAAAATGAATACATATTTTGAAATTTTATATTTAAATTAAATTTAAAAATAAATTTACAAAACATATACCTATAACAAAAGGTTCAACTTGCTGACCAGCACAATTATACCATGGTGGTCGACCGGCCGTGTATATAGTCCGGTTATTTGACCGTATAATAGAGCCAGATGGATGAGCCGTTGTCGTTTGATTCATTGATGTCGTTCTTTGTCGTCGTGGTCGTTGTGGTGTGATTGGACGTTGTGATGGCGTCAAAGGTCTGACTGGGGAGTCGGACGAATTTGAACGTGAGGTCTTTGCTGGCACAGTCGTAGGTGACGCTGGGCAACAATACTTCAAATATTCATTTGCGTCTTCTTCGTTATCACCGAATTTATGACTACCATTATTAATTTTTAATATGGTATCAATATATAGTGCATCCACTAAATCGGGACGGTCATCACTAAAAAAAAAGGAAAATAATACAATATACTCAGTTTACATTTATTCTTAACGTTTTATCTATTTTAAGTGTACTTATATAAAAATATATTCAAATCAAGTTGAAACATTTTTCATTTCAATCCTTAAAACAAAATACATAAAAAACATTTAAAAAATAAGTTGAGTAATATAGAAAAGAAACAAAGAGCGAAATCGTTCATTTGCTCCTAAATAAGTAGCAAACGACTAAATTATATATATAGATATAGATATATATAAGTAATATAGTAGTAGCGGAAACTAGTCGCAAGATGAGAAAAAAAAATATATGAAAACAAAAATCCAATTTATCAATCTATACGAGTATCAATTAAAAAATGAAGAAAAACTAAACAGAAAATCGATAACAAACAAAAAAATGATGAAGAAACAAAATTATATATAACTTTCAAGCATAAAATAAATTAAATGAAAATTAAATTACATACATTAACCAATTCATTAATAATATATAAAGTCATTTCAAAATGCACCTATGAGCATATATGGAGGTAACCAGATATATATTTATTAAAAATTGCTTCTTACATAAATAGTTTTTTCAGTAATTTATTGTTATTTTATTGACTTAAAATAATTCAATAGAATGTATAAGTCAATAACTTAATAGTAATAAGTCAACAAAATGTAAAAATACTGCAAAATTTTTTAATATCGTATCATGAAATTTATGTCGCAAGTCGAAAAAAAATGACTTGATTTATATTGTGTCATAAAGCGAAATTGAAGACGTTGTATCTCCACTAACAAACCGAAACTAGACTTCTTTAAGTTAACCTAAGCGCATCGTTTTAGTAAATCAGAAATGGTTTGCTATCATTTATACGCTTTTATTTAGTACTGTAAGACTAAATTTTTTTAAATCGCTACTAAATTTTATTCAATTAGAGACTTTATTACTTCACTTGTTCATGTACAGTTTAAATATGTCTTATAGATTCCCGAGATATTATGACCAAGTTATTTTCGGAGCTGTATGGCAAAAACTGATACAATCACAACTAAATTTAACTGGAAAATTAGTCGTGCTATCTCACTTATTTGTACAAAATTTGAATAAGATCTCGAAATATTACCAAATGGGTTCTAGAGTTGCAACTAAACTAAACAAACTAAAACTATAAGTAATCAATAAAAATTTGCTTAACCAACCTTAATTGATTTTTGAGTTATTGCTTGGACGGACATGGCTAAATCAACTCAGTCTAGGTTTCCTAAAAAATTATGATCACATTTAATAAATTAATAAAGTTGGATCAAACCAATGGTTTGTATTGTAGCATTTTTCCCTTCAACAAGTGAAAATACTGCTTTTAAATACAGTCTATGTATACCTACCACACTATTAAAATTATTGTCATTCATATAGGAAAATATTTCTAGGATTGCATATATTTAGGATGAATGATTTGCGCAATCTTTGAAATAAAGTAAAAATTAATTTAAAGAGGGGTTACATAATGTTCGATTTTAAGGGTTAGTTGCGTGAGTTAAAAAAAATAATTATATTTTTTTATGTCATGGAATTTACCGTTAGCTTTTTGCGTTTATAGAAATTTGAAAAAACTTGCGGTTTCGGAAATATAAGACGTCAAAGATTCAAATTTTACAAATTTCAAGATGCGATAACTTGAGAGGGAGTGGAGATGGAAAAAATTTTCTTCTAACGAAATGAAGTATTTATTAGTGTCTAAAAGCTGCTGATTTTTTCAGGTTCCTAAAACCTGGGGTCAAGAAGAAAAACGACATCAAAAATTTGGAAAAAACGGATTTTAGATAACGGTAAATTTGAACTGCCATTTTGTTTTTATAAAGTTTGACTATAGTATAAAGCAGTAGGAGAAGCAAGTGGCTTGCCTTTCTGCATTTGCAAAATTAGAAAAATGCTTCACTGGAAAAATTAGAAAAATGGTTTCACTGCAATAAATAGTTAAAAAATGGCATTTTTAGAGTTTTGGGGAGTATAACTTCTAGAGGGGGGAGATGGGTAAAAATTTTCTTCTACAGAAATAAGTTTCTGGTAAAGATCTATGTTTATATATATATATAAAATTTCAGCTTTCCATCTTCAAGGGTGTAGAAGTTTTGTAAACAGACAGACGGACGGACGGACAGAGTGAAACTAATTAGCACTTTTTTTCAAAAATTTTTTAGAAAAGTGCTAAAGAAGTCGGTCAAGTTGCTATATTAGTTGAAGGGAAGGGGGGGGAATATAAATAAGGAATATAAATAAATATAAATTTATTGCTATGTATTTATAAAATGAATTTAAGTTAAAGTGCTTTTACAAACCCTTAACACAATATTAATTCTTTAACTGAACTAAAATTCTTTAACTAAACAAACCTGCATTTCCCATTTTTCTTTCATAAATATGCTTGATGCAATTATTAAAATAATATTGAATGTAAGTGCATTGTTTACAAAAACTTTTTTTTAATATTATTAAATAATTTCAATAATATTAATTAAAAATTATTTTTCCTAACTTTCTGCATAAATTATTTAGTAAGAAATAATAGTGAGAAGTAGCACAAATAGTATTTAAAGAAAAGCCAGCTTACATGATTATTTTTATTTTCGTTGAGGAAAAATGATGGAATCTCGCCAGCTGAAAATGTTCTTTAGTATAATTAATTCATTGTCGACATATGTAGATGTTAAGTTTAAATGCGGCACAATCATTTCGGAGATATAAATTTAACAATGGTAAAATTTATATACATATACGAGTATTATGTAATTTAAATATAAATTGCTTATTTAATGGTATTGCAACAAAGGAAACAAAGACATACTATTTCAACTTTATAACTTTCATTTTTTTAGATTTTATATTCTAAAGCAAAAACCCTCCTTCCTTTATTTAATTGAAATAAAGGTCAATCAATTCTAAACTGAATTATGTTTCTATGAGATTTATATTATTAAAACCCGTAATATTAAATTTTCAACACACATAAAGTACATTTATTTCACTTTTAAACTCAAAATATGTTATAAAAAACAAGCATGGAACAAGAGTTAGCTTAAAATTTCCGGTTATACTTAGATGTGTACAAATGTATAACCAAATCTTGCCGCAAAAATATGGAAAAGTTATAAAGATAAATGTATGTCAAACTTGTGTTTAAAGATAATATTGACATTAATTAATATTTTTCACTTAATAACTTAATTTACAAGATCAAACTAAAACATGCTCGTGATCTTTAAGTTTTCAAAATTTTTTTCATTCGTTTAATTAAGTATAAAATTAAATAAATAACATGTGTACTAAGCGTACAATTTAATATGTTAACAAAACTGAGAGTATCATTTTCGTCGAAAATTATGCAATTTAAAATCAAAATTATGAAATTTATGATTAAATATTCAGATACTTTATTCAGATATGTTAACGTATTGGTGAAATAATATTTGTTCGCCAATGCTACGTGCTTAATGACATGTGATGTTACGTTATACTCGTATACATTGTTTAAAAACAACTTTAATACTACAGATTTTAACATTTAGAATAATATAGACATTTATTAAAAACTAAAAATTTTATATATTTCCTGAAACTCACTTAATTATTTTTAAAATATGAAGTGTCTATTTTAATATTACACTTAAGAAATAATTTTCTTCCTGTATAAGTTACAAGATGCGAGAACTTTTTTACACTTTTCATCTAAGTGTTACTTACATATTTTACTTGTGATACGTACACGATATGCAAATATGATAAGCTTTTTAATTTTAAGTTTTAATAATAAAAAAAAAATATTTCTTTATAGTATGTATAACTAGGCGATTGTGTAATAATTTTTTATTTATTTTTTTTCAATATTTACAAAGCATTTTCATTCCAAAGTTATAAAACTGGTCTTTAATTGTATTGCACTCTCTCTTCAATATTTTTTCTTTATTTTGTTAAACTACGTTCATATGTATGTATAAAGAGATTAAAATTAAATCAAGCTTATTTCCATTCATTATAGACTTAGAGAAAATTGATATTTTATTTAAAAAAAAAAACTTAAAATATCATGTGAAATTTTGCAAACATTCTAATAATGTAATAAAATTAAAACAATAATTTAATTTCCAGGAATTTAAAAGAATAATTGAAACAAATGTTAAAAAGAAAATAATAAACAAAATATGAACAATTTACGATATTAAAATATCGTATTACAGTAAACGCGAAAATTCTTTTTATTATATCACAATCAACGTATTTCGCTTAAAAAGAAATTTGTATTGAAATGATCATAAAATGTTAATTTCGACTACTTTACTCTTAAGTATCAAGTTGAAGACTGAAGCTTATTACTATTTTTCAAGTTTAATTTAAAAATAAAAAACGAGTAAAAACGAATCGGTCTGAACGTTGACCGTATACCCTGCACCTTGAAAATATAAAAACTGGATTTTCGAACATTTAAATTAAGTTTCATGCTTATGTGGCAGCTACTCGATCATTCATAAAATCTGTCAAACCATTCCATAAAATCTTCCAGGATATGTCTGACCTATTATTAAGCACAAGACTGCCAAGTTCCATGAATTTAGCTTTTTTATTTTTCCGAATATTTAAAATTATACTTTGTTGTATAGTCAAGTCCATTATCCGAATTGGTCCACATTATAATTCGTCCTCGAAAGAAAAGAAACACTTTTTTGAAAATTTAGTGGTGTTTGCTTTATTCGTTTTTGAGTTGTAGTGCGATTAACGGACATGTTCACGGACAGATATGTCTTAATCAAAGAGAATTTTACGCGGAGCAAAAATATATGTTGTTACAAGCTTTATACTAAAGTAAACATATCCTTCACGAAGGTGCAGGGTATAAAAAACGAAATTAACTCCGCCGTTTCAAATTATTATCGTAAATAAGAAGAGGAAAATAATAACCATGTTAAAAAATAATCATAAAGATCGTATATAATCTTTTACGTATGCGTGTA